TAACAGTTTGGTGTCTTGGAATTTCCTTAATTTGTAAAAGTATCATACCTGAACACTAAACAAGAAACCTAAAGAGAATGCTACCATACACTGGCTGCTTTGGTGTGAATTTGGCCCTTGAAATTTGCAGTTGACTTATTGGTTTAGAGGCTGTGTTAGGAAGACTGGCACTATATGCAGGAAGGTAGGGAGAGCCAAATGCTAGTGTCTGTACTTTACAGGCTTTCCCAACACTGCTGCCTCAGTTCTGCCAGTAGCGCTGTTCCAATGGGCAGTAAAGCTGAAGCTGCAGTGTCATGGGAATCTTTCCAAACACTGATGCCAGAGCTACTATGCAGCCAGTGAGCCTCTAAACAGCAGACACAGTTGGGCCTGTTAATCTACCTATGAAAACTCTTGACAAGTGTCCAGCCTCCCTTAGATCACTGAGTCATTGCAACTAATAGAATTGCTTGCAAAATACCTGTAGAGAAAAGGTGGTGATTGGTTGAATTTCCTTGTCACAATGGCGCCACATAAGTTACCTGAGCCTGGCTATAACCTGTACAGTCAAAACAATTTGATACAATCATTAATTTAGCTTAGTTACAACCTAATTTCTTCACTTGCAGGTGCTGCTCAAGATTTCAACTAAATTTTCATTATATTGAAGTGTCAGTTATTCCATTGGTAAGATATCTGGGGAAAGAAAAAAGCTGACAGGATGCTAAGTTTCCTAAAGAACCCACTTTTCAATTCATAAAGTAATTAATGATGAATGGTCAGAAAATATATTCTGCACGCAAAGAGTAAGTGTGGAAAGTTTGGGGGACACTAGGCTGTATTTTTCATACAAAACAAAGACTAAATCCCTTTCATTGCAAAATGAAGCTCAGCCTTACCTGCAACCAGCACCTCTGTAATAAAGAAGGGCCTAGTCTAACACTTGCTCACACAAGTATCTCTGCAGGACCCAAATATAGATGCGATATTACTATCAACGCTGGACACGCATGTTTACAGGAAAAGCACAAAACACCAACAAAAGAATTTTCAGAGGGATATAACCCTTGTGCTTCAGGGCTTAAACCAACCTTTAATTAATGGGAATTAGGAAGAAACTTTCCCTGGGACAGGTTATCCCCTCCCTTCCAAATGCAGGTTTTTTTGTCCACTTTTCTGAAGCAACTGGTATTGGCCACTGATGGAAACAGGACTGGATGGCCCAGGGGTTTTAACGCTCTACAGAACCTAATTTAAAGGTAGGGTCCAAACTACTAGATTGTGCCTTTCTATGCTTTTTTTTTTTAAATCGTGTCAGTGGCAGGCTTACTGCACTCACAAGTATACTTAGCACAATAAACCACACAGGCATTAATGACAGGTATTAATATACTATGAAAACATTTCACATTTCAAGCTTCCAGAGACAAGGCAAAAAAAGCAGGAATGCAACATTGGCTGCTTGTTTGTTAATAGTGCCAGCGGGCACCACCAAAAACCTTTTTCAGAACTCTTTTGCCAAAAGGTAACAGAGAGCCCTCTACAGGCAGGAAACACAAACATAAACCTAAAGGAAAGGAGTGCACAGATGCCTGCAGCATCTGTCTCTCCTGCATATCAGAGGCCTTGTTCCTCAGTATACGAATGTCTGCCATTGACTTCTGCAAGGCCCCTGGAAACTATTGATTTATTCCATTGCCTTCAGCCTTTTGATTTTAATGATGATCGTTCTTCAGCTGCAATTAGGAACACAGAAGTAATTAAGTCAAGAAAACCAGGCATTAAGAATAAACGTCACCTAAACAGCCCAGTCAATGTTGAAAAAATACCAAATAAATCATTTTATAGCTTTAGTCCCTCCCCACCCCACCCCGGGTAAAATCCTGGCTCTGTTGAAGTCAAAGGGAGTTTTGCCATTCATAGCCAGCATTCAGAAGCCTAAGTCATTGATGCTTGTAAAGTGCCTTTTTCTATGAGCCAGCATTTGTTGTTGTTACTCCACTAAAAAGATTGCTAGAGAACAAGAGGGCAGATATTAAAAATCTGACTCCATTAAGTGGGAAGTAGAAACTCAGAGCTTTTTCATATAGATAGATAATAAATTTTTGGAAAAAGCAAGAGAGAAAAATCATATTGAATGCCAGAAAGTGACAGGAGTGTAGGTTACCTTATGTAAGGGTTTCCTGGAGGTATTTGCTATGCTGCCCAGAGCGTGATTTGGAAAGTACATCCTTTTACATGACAGTAGAATCTATTTTAGGATCAGGAAAATAGAATCTCAAAACTTCATACTCAAATATTGTAGCTAATCTGCTCCATTACAAACAGTGGCGTTAGAATAATTGCTTTCTGGCTTATTCAGAATGAAAGACTCTCCTCAAGGGGAAAAATGTACCATAAATGCTTGTATAACATGAGCAAGTTGATGTTTTCCCAGGCATATTTAGAACATTTATGAGTGCTCTTTCTCATTTGATGTTTAAATAGCTGCTGCCCCATTTTAAACATTCTGCCCATTCTAATGGATAATTAAACTCTCTCCCCTCTGCTCAGCACACTGACTTATTAGAACAGTGGTTTTCAACCGGTGGTCTGTGGACCCCCGGAGGTCCGCAGACTTTTATCTAAGACTTCCAAAGGGGTCCACGCCTCCATTTGAAATTTTGTAGTGGTCTGCAAATGAAGAAAGATTGAAAATCACTTCTTCAAGGGAATGTCTACACTGCAGCTGGGAGAGTGCCTCCTGGCCTGGATAGACAGACTTGGGCTAGTGGGGCTTGAGTTAGTGCACGAAAACTAGCGTGGATGGAACAACTTGAGCTGGTCAGGTGGGCTTGAGAACATGAACTGCAGCTCAAGCTGCAACATCCACACTACTTTTAGTGCACTAACTTGAGCCCTGCTAGTTCAAGTCCGTCTACTGGGCTGGGAGGCAGGCTCTTGGCTGCAGTATAATGTCCCTAAGCAGGAAAACATTAAGATTGATGAACATCTTACACATGACAAGGTGTAATACTATCCACTAGCCCGTTGCCCTGGTCAACTTTTGTTTGGTTTGCTGGAGTTAGTCCGCATGGGTACCCACATTCAGCTACACCTACTTAATGTATATTAGATCAAAACCCACCTTATTCTCTTGTACTTTATTTTGAACATTGCTTCTTGCTTGAGTTCCCCAGCAGTACATAGGTGTAGCTGATTAGCTTTGTCATTGCCTTGTACCACAGGGAAGAGGTTGGGTGAAGACACTTGGCCAGGAAGAGCTATGGAAAGGGATGGTCACGGGCCCCCTAGTAGATGACTTGAGAACAAACGCTGGTGATTCACTCTGCCTAGCTGCAAAGCAACAAACTCTGGGACAGCTGAAGCCAGGTACCAGTGAGGAGGACCAATACAATGACAGGATGGAACGTCAGTACCAAGATATAATCCAGCTCTCCTTGAAGTCCGTATCTGATCGCAGTGGCAATGGACTCAAGTCCTTAGAGAGGAGATAGATCCTTTGGACACCCATTGCCAGGGAGCAATGGGGATGTGCAGGACATATAAAGTGAATGCAAGTTGTACATGGATTCTTTACTAATAGCAACCCCTTCTACAGCTCTCAATGAACTGCCACTGCTCTAGATTATGGATTTACTTGGATCCTGTAAAAGCAGGAACAGTCCGGCAAAGGCTTGGTGGATCACAAACTGCCTAATATCCTAAGGCAGAGATTCTCCAATCTAGGTCTGGGTATTCACCAGTTTCCTAAGGGTTAATGCAAATGTATCCCCATCCCTCTAGATACTGCTAAGCCATCGCCCGCCAGGGCTGTCTTACTTCTAGCTCAATGATACTTCTGAAGAGCAATTACTTTGGTTTTAGAATGTGCCAAGCTGTACAAAGTATCAGCCGTTTTCAAATAGTTACCCATTTCCCTGGCACTGCAGAACATTAGCCACTGGGCCAACTCAATCCTGGGTGTAGTTTGTGTTGCTAACTCCAGGATATAGAGAAGCAAAGGAAACACATAATGAGCCAATGAATTAGAATAGAATGGCATATACCTGAAGACAAAGTTTGACACTTTGGTTTTAGGGTATCCTCAGTAACGAAACATTTTAAAAGTGCACCATATTAAATTATTGGATTTTTTTTCCCATTAGCCATGTTCATTGTAAGAGAGATTTTCAAAACCACTATTCTCAAGTCAAAGGGCTGCTTGTTATATTTTTGAAGGCAACTTTATGGTGGTCTTCACAATAGTCCCCTTTCATTCACAGGTGATGGAACTGAGGGAGCTATCATTCCTGCAATGGAAATACTGGGGGCAGATGCATGTTTCACCTCTGCAAGGTATTTTGGGGGCAGAAGAGTGGGACCTGGGTATATTTCCATACCTGTATGCATAGGAATGGGGGGGAAGGAGCCAAAGGACACAAGATCAGGCTGGCTGCCAGAGAGCAGGTAGGACTCCCTGACCCAGTCCAGACCAGCCACCGCAAGTCCCAGCAGAGATATCCCCAGGGAAGAGGCAGGAACACATGTGCCAGCTAAAGTGGTGTGGGGGACAGGACAGGGTGCATCCATGCACAGGCACAAGAAACTGAGGGGAAGTTGAGGCCCACAGGGCACCAGCTGCCACTGCCTTAGGAACAGCAGCAGCAACTATTGGGATGCCTTTTCCCAGCCTGGAGTCAACTGTGCACCCCTCCACCTCATCTCAGTATTTCCCCCTCACTCCTGCTCCTATCCTATGCCCCCCATTAAAGGGAGTTTTTGTTCCCCCCACACTTTCACCTTCAAACCTGTTGTTCTGTGCTGAAAAAGTTCTTTCCTTCTAGGTACTGCAAGGGTTCTTTCCTTCTAGAGCTCCAGCAATCTTTTCCAGTAGAAAGCCTACTGAAAAATTCTGACAAGACTAAGCTGTATTTGCCAGCCTAAAATGGAAAAACATGATCTTGGAAGTTAGTCATATGGCCCATGTGTTTTTAAGACACTTCTGTGATTAAAATGAAGAAACGAACAACAAAGTCTTTGGATCCTTGCAATTTATTAACACTTCAAAACACGTCCTACAGTAAGGGAATCTCTTGCCCCTACTCCCTTTGCTACTCAATCACTGTTTTGAAACAATGTACATTTCTTGCAATAAGCAAATAGATACTTGAGGCACTATGTGAATACAAAAGTGACAATATAAAAACAATTAAACTTCATGCAATACACTTAAATATATAAGGCAATGTAGCATCGTAACTCAACACACACAAGCACTGTTAGAACAATTCACATCAGTGAATATACAATATGCATAGCATGTTTAATAACAGGTTTACAGCTCATGCACAAGTAACCAGTCAGCCTAAATAGGAAAGAAAGTCTTAAAATACTGGATAACTGCTTAAGCCACAGCTTACAAAACCTGCTGTATCGCAGCCTCTCTGCTCAGAATTGCAAGTGCACAGTAACAGTCAAGATAAATAAGCGAGGACTATGTTTAAATGACACAACAGATCCCTTATTTCGAATAATCGGCCCTTCTTGTTTTCCATCCAAGGTTCATTAGCCAACATGCTGAGAGGAGGTTGCTAGAATAAAGCAATAGTTGTGTACTCAAAAACTATTTTAATACTGATCATAATTATGTGCATTTTCAATCAATACAAATAGTTACAAAAGTCTAACATTACTGCGAGATGTCTGATACTGTGCTTACATTATATTATATACCTAACACTGGAGAAATGTCTTGGATGAGAAGTCTGACCAGTCACTCAAAGTACAAAGTATAGGTATCAGATTGTCTTTCTTTTTTGTTCACTTGGGGTGGGGAACAAAGGAAGAACTGAGGAGGCAAATAATTCTCCTTTCAAACCAGTGTAAAATGGTTGGAAACAAGTGTGATTCCTCTCCAGGCAGGGTGATAGCAAGGCGTGTCCCAGACAAGGATAGAAGTTAAGTAATATAAACCCCCATACTACAGGCACAAGCAGCTCTAACAGTCTGGATTTAAGATGAATCATCCTCTATTGGCAGGTTATGGCACAATAGGAGATTAAAGTCGTCCTCTGAAGCATCTGGTACTGGCCAATGTCAGCAACATCAAACCAGTGGGTCATCTAGTCCTGTATACTCTGTATGGCATTTCCTAAGTTCCCAACGCCATAGGCTTATTTGCAGCATCAGACCACAGATCTGTATTTTTCCAGAGGAATTTGAATCAGACTGGACAACATTATACAGGGCATCTGCACTGAGCCAACAATTCAGGTGGAGTTTATTGTCTGAGTCACACACAAACTTTGATGCTGGTTCCAAAGGAAGAAAATTCTTCCTTTCTAGATGAGGAGCTGCAAGGGAGAAGTGGGAGGAAAAGGAAAAATGAGGAGGGGATAAGAGGCAGACTTAGATCTCTAGAACTAAAGGTAAAAATAGATGCATTGTTTATACTAGTATAACATTTCCTCCCATCACAGAGAATCTTTAGCAAAGAAGGAGGACATATTTTATATACTATATTGCTCAAACCCTAGAGCAAACAGCATCATTAATAAATAGCTTAGCAATAACTAGAGTCACATTAGACAGCTAGAAAAGGACAATATGCAGAGGCAACTACACAAATGGATTGCATTGGGGGATCCCCCTCAGAAGCCCTTAAGATCCTTCTTGTTTTCTAGCTATGTCTCCCTTATCCTTGGGGTCCTAAAGGACACCCATCCTTTTGACCAAGGAATGGACAATACTCCCTTCACAACTGGCAAAAAAAGTCACACCTTAACTAGGTCACTGCTGAATGACACAAAACCCTAGGAGCTGAGTGCATTACCTCCCATATCTTGCTAGGCCTTGGAGATCAATCCACCAGGGGAGGAGATACTAGGGTCTTCAGTATGACAATACAGAGCAGTGTCACTAGGCTGCCCAAATGCATGAGTTATCATCACTACTAGTGATATTAAAGTGTTGTTGAGATTTGGTGCAATATGGCTCATGACTTGAGAAAGCAGAAAGCTCTGGTAAATCATGTTTTAACTAGGACAAATGCAGAAACAGATCCCCAGTCCTCAGCAAGTTAAATATTTGTCTTATGTACTTTTTAGCATAAAGAAATATCAGCAACAAGACATGAACCCGTCAATAAAATAAAGCAGACAAAATGCGTTAGCTTAAAACAGTTGTTTCCTTAACTAAGATATGTTCAGACAGTGCGCTGCCAACTTTTTTCTAGCTTGGATTTTTTGTATTCCATTGTTTGTATTCCAAGAAGCTTGAAAACATTTTTTCTCTCTATTGATTATGTCCTCCTTTTTTTTTGACAAACGTTGCATTTTGCAAAATTTCCTATGCTGCCAACACAGCTGTCTTTTGTTGCTGGTGCACAGGAAAGTAAACAATCTCGGCAGGAATGTGCACAGCTTGGAAAACCCACACAAAACTAGAACTGCAGAACAACTTAGGGTGCTTGCATGGGTTTCTTCTTTTCAGAGGGTCTCATGAAAACAGTGACTTTAAAATGCTGCACTGAACCAAAATTCAAGCTTATAGTGTGGATGGGACTAACCTAGTCTTGTCCATGCTACAAGTTATAACCCTTTTGGTAGAAATGGGGTTCTGGTTTGTAGCATAGACCTTCCAATGGTAGCATTCTGCCAACCAAATGGCTGCTTCAGAGCAGTAGTTTTCACCCTTCTCCAGACCAGGACACTGTTACAACAGGAATTTTTGGGATCACCTCCTCCACTTAACCAGAAAGAAAGCGGTGGGAGGTCACAACCACCCTTTCTGTTCACAACCCAATCGAAAAGATATACACATAATAGATGCATGGGGAAAACCATTAAATATTCAGTACAGTTTAAATGATTTTGCATTAGTTTTCCAAACACTAATTTTTGGGCAGAGATGAAGCCTGGGAAATTTCAACCCAAAAGAAACGAGTCCAAACTTATGAACAACTGCAAAGAGGCTGTTATTCTGTGTTAGTATATTGCCTAGCACACTGTGACTAGGATATTGCACTAGTGCCTAAAGGCACCTGTAAGTATGAACAGAAGTTTTAATCCAAATTTAACTAACAGCGATCTAGATATATAAAAACCATCTGCAGTCTTCAAGTGTTAGACTAACAAGGATCAGAAAAATTCAGTTAAGGCTGACATTTCCCCCACACATCCCCAGAAGCATTTGCTTTTACTCAAATACAACACATGTGGCAATACATAACCTCACACTGTGCACAGTGATCCATTAATCTTTCAGCGTTTGTAGAACACCCATCACGGTGGCATTTAAGTGCTAAGAATGGAGTAGCAACCTTAACTCCAATTTTCCTAGCTTTTGTCTGTCAAGTCAGACCTTGAATTTCCTTTTAACATAGCTTTTTTAATCTTAAGAAGCTTCAACTGAAACAACCCTTCAATATATACCCTTCATAGACTTGTATGTGATTTAAGCAATCTCTAGTGACACCTGAGGAGCCAAAACCTATTGTCTAATACATATTTAAAAAACACCTGTATTTCCTTGGTAGTCTTTAATAGCATCTCTGTTTTGGAAAGTTCCTTTTAGGATTTGTGGGAGGTGGCTGCTAAGTTTCAGCTCAAAACTGTTCTTTTATTAAAATATCAAGTGAAAGCACAGGTTTCTAATGGAAAGTGCAGCAGACCTATAACCAGAACCCAGAAAGCAAGCACTTCTCAAACAGGGGAAGAAAGACAAAACACAAAACCCACAACTTTCTTCTGGCAATTTTAGTGTCTTTCTACCATATAATGCTAATAGCACTGGGAATGCTTTTTTTTTAAAGCAATATATCATCTGATCTGAATTCAGATAAGTGTCTATTAAATGCTATTAAAGTCATCACTGTGATTAACACTATTCAACTGCCAACTCTGCTGAAACAACTCCATGCCAATTACTCATCCTATCAGATCCAACCAGCAGTATCAATTCATTAACACTTCACGGCATTTACTTACAGCAGCAACTGTGTGATAGCCAATAACCTGTGTACACAGAACTGTATATCTCAGCCTAGTTCCCTTGCATGCAATATGTTTAGAAGAATTCCACTTATCAGCATGAACCTCTAAGGACACAACAATACTGAGCAAGGTCACAGAAATCACCCAGGATGCTTTTACTCTGATCCCATTCCTGACCCCACACCTCACTATTATAAGACAAGGTCATCACTCTCGTTCTGCCATTTTAAAAGTGTTTTTAATTTCTTCCAGAACTTAATATTTCTCCATAAGAAACTGACATTTGTAGCTCTATTTTCCAGCCCACTTCCTTTTTAAAATAGGCACTAATAACACTTAAACGTGTTCCTGTCTTGCATGCTCTCTTTCATTCCTCTGTCACTGTTAGAGGGTAGATTTTACTTAATTCCCCTTCCCCCACTGTTCTAAAAATTGCTCTGCCTCTCTCTCTCTCTCTAGCTCTCAAAGGTTCTACAAAAAACTACGTGTCAAACAGACATTAACAGGCTGTGACAGGAGTCCTTTTCCCTTGAACAACTCTCCTTGTTTACAACCATGAGTTATGAATTTCTGGTCCTTTTGTTTAGGTTAGACCCAGAACATTTGATTTATTAATTTATTTTACATTTCTTTCAAGGACTAAAGAATAAAAGTAAAAAGGATTAGAACTGAGTTGTTCAAGCACAAGGGAGACTTGTACCATATCTAAGTATCATGAAAAAAAGCAGGTTTTCATCTAACAGAAGATGAGGCTTTTAAGTGTGTGTTGCATTGTTTTTAAAGACTACTGTATTTTAGTGCTTGGTTACGCTAAACTACTTCTTAAAAGGGACACAATCCAACTTGAAATCTAGTCAGATGAAAAGTAGTTTCAGGTACTACATGTGCCCTGAGTCCCTCAGCCAATTTTTGTGGTTTCACATCACTTTCCCCACCTTTACTATTGCTATGTAAAAGACCCCCAGAATCAGGGAAATCTGACTGACTACACAGAGGAAACAGTATATAAATTGCTGTTAAATGCAGAAACAGACTGACAAAATAAAGACTATATTCTCCTCCCTGCCCCCGTCTTGCTCAGGTTATAGTAACCTTAACACATGAAGGTAAAAAAAATAAATTTCAGACAAATGTGATTTTTAAGTTGATGGTGCCCATTTGAACTCTGCTACCAGTATCTAAAGTGTGTCATGTCCAGTACTTCTCTTGATCAGACAGACAATTATACTAGTTTTCTAGTACACTCATGGATGATAGACCCATTTCTATTTCAAGAGCGTGTTTAGTCCCGGAAGCTGAACTTAAGTTCCACAGAAAGATTCCGGGATTCTGCAGCCATTTGTTGAGGCAGACTAGAAATTCTGCAATTAGTTTCATTTTTAAAGGGAGTTTAAATATGAAAATTAATAGCACAATAGGGATAGTACTCATTTTAGCTCCCATATCTGAAAAATATCATGTCTTAGTCACTTGATAGTTGGTTAAGATATTCTCACCTGGCAAGGAGCTCAGTCAGAAGTTTCAGGTGGATTTGTTTAATTTTGGCAGCGTTACCGGGCAGAAGTTTATAACAGAAAGGTAGGACAAAGGGCTTGGCTTTTAAAGTCTGCCTGCTTCCCTCCATATCTTTGAAATGCTGGCAGAGTTCTGAAACAAAACAGCAACTTTATGAATCTTCCAAATCTTACACCACCTCTATAAGCTATCCTGGTTTTGACAAAAGTAACAGTGAACCTGAGAGATCCATAAGACACAGACAGAATGTTCTATTTCTCCATATGGGGACCTGTCTCTTCAAGATGCCAAAATGCACTACTGGTCACCAAAACCCCTGAAAACAAACCTAAGCCGAAGTTTCTGGGTTGCATCATTCTAGAGGTAGGATATGACAAAGATTCACTGAATTATTCTTATAATCAGGGAAGTCTCCAAAATTGAACAGCCAGATTTGTCACAAAAAATTCCCTCTGACCTACCACCTTACCTAGCTCACTTGCAGTAAGAGAAAGCTTCTCCCAAGCAGTTTAGAAGGTTAGCAAAATTTCTCTTTATAACAGAAAAATGGTTTCAACCTTAACTATGGAGAGGTTACTGCCTTTCCATAATACAATAACAGAGCCATTGTCAGAGTTATTCCCCCACCCCCTACAAAGGGAGTTACCATGTTGAATTGTACCATCTTTTGGGGTAACCTGACAAATAAATCACTTGGATAATTGAATTATCTTGTGTTAGCTGACAGCTTATCATAGCATGAGCACAATCACTGCTGCTCTGCCTCCTCGCCCCACCTCATTATTTTAAGGCTGCTATCTGATTCAGCTAAGACAAATCTCAATTTTCCATAGACATGTACTCCCCTTAAAACATTTCCAATTTAAAATATTCAGGGTATTTTAACCAACAGGACTGCTCTATGACAACAGTGTGCCAAAGTCAAAAGTGATGTTACAATCCCACCACCTGATGGGCTGCTTTTCCTGTTCAGATACAAAAGTTATAAAATAAATTTGCAATACAGCTCTCAGATCCTGCTAATACAGAAAGCGTCACGGTGATGGGAACAGTGACAGAATCAGACTAGCGGCTCCAGCAGCACTGATCGTGACTGTCATGAGTCTACTACCTGCTAAGCAATGCAATTATATATGCACATATTCTGCATGCTTGCTCCCAGGCATGTTATATACCGGTCACGTGGTTCTCTAGCATAATCTCAACTCACCTCCTCAGAAAGTTACTGTATCAAATATATATCATAAATGAAGTATTGCCAAACATCCAGCAACCAGGAGTCAGACCTAATATTTTTTTTTTAAATTAAACACTTGGGGTTCTTTTTATTGAACATCTGCACAATGGTACTGGAGCACACAGGGTTTGTTTTCCTCTACAAAACTGAGGGTTAGAAATTTTTTTTAAACAAAATCAAAGATTCTCAGGTAAATAACCTGAGGCCAGCTAGCTGGGGCCTTTAAGAAAACACTAAATATCAGGAGTCTCACAATCAACACAAAGTTTGGCAACACAGAAAAACAAGATGTTCTTGGAACATAGTTCCTGCTCAGTCATTCACAAAAAAATGAAAGAGCTGTAAGTGCATTAAAATATTTATATTAATTAAATCAAATTTTAAAAACATAACTAGAACACGGTCACCTGAATTTGATAGAAAACTAACCTTTCCCATCCTTTTCTGAAACATTTAAGGCACTTGAAGGTGGCCAGTTTTTAAAGCCAGACAACAAAAGTGTACATTTTAAAAATCCTAATTATTTAAATAAAAAAAACCCACAACAAAATACAGTAACACTGCAAAAAAAGTTCCCACAATCATAACATTCAGTAAATACTCAAAACCTTTATAAAAAAGAAAAAAATAAAATACTTCACTTTGTTTATAGTGAACCATAAAAAAGGATGTGGCAAGTACAGGGCCTATTGAATTGGCAGAGCATATACACACAATTTTTATGGACCCCTTTCAAACACAGTCAGCAAGTGTCCTCTCTTTTCAGGTTACCAAAGAGCCTAATCCTCTAGAATACTGAACCTGTTCATAGAGATAGTGTGCAGTAAAAAGCTTCTCTTTGATGATGGCTTTCCCCACCCCACCCCAAAATAGGTAACATTACAATTAACTATGTGCATGTTAGCTTTCTGTTTTAAGCACTATTTTAAATTAAAGCAGAACCCAAATAAGCATAATACAAATAAGTATTCTCCTCCATTAGCTTATACGTTCCTTACCACCTCCAGGACAAGAGGAACATGAACTGGCAACATGGAAAACACTTTAAAACTATTTCCAGGGAAGAAGTAGCTGCACAAGTCTTCCAGCCTGCTCAGCTGTTTCAGGGGAAGAGGGGACAATGGATATAGTAAGATGAGCTCTGACATTTTTCTTTGTGGACTTTTGGTCACCTTATTCCTGACATTTTACCCATCCTACTAGAGGCTTCTTCAATGGAAAGAAAATTTCTTTTGTGGAACATATGTGAGTTAAGATTTTGTCGTTGTGTGGCTGTCGCTCTGATTGTTCATCTCAGAGCTGAAAAAGTTAAAGGGTGAATCCTCTGCACCCTCATCAACACTGAGGCTTTTAGGGTCTCTCAAGCAGTCTGCCAAGATGTCTTGGGGATCCCTTAAGAAGACCACCAAGACGGTGATGTTATCACTGGATCCATTTTCCTTTGCTGCAGACACCAGTCTCTCTGCTGCCTTGAGACCATCTCCTTTGTTTTGCTTTAAGTGATCTAGGACCAGATCCACCACGTCATATGGTCTGATGGCATCAAAGAATCCATCACAGGCCAGGAGCAAGTAATCTTCAGAACCTGTCAGCTCAAATGAATTACCATCTGCATTTCCAGAGATATAGGGCTTCTGATATATATCACCTAACAAGAAAAGATACAAATCTGATTACTTCAATATGAGCCATTTTCTCCTCACCAGCCAATTGTTTCTATGATTCCCAGCATTGCAATGGTTTCTTTTAGGGCCAGATCATATCTCCGAGATCCATGCACAGCTCTTTCAATGCCCCATGAAGGAAAGAGATGGTTGGGGGCTACAGAGCCAATGGAGAAGGACTTCAACTCCTGACGATCCCCTGGGATTCATATGGATTTAAGGGCATTTACTGTGTTTTGGGGATGGTACCATGGCTCATTATACCGCTCCTCTAGAACAGAATGATATGAGGAGCTCACCAAGGAAAACCTCAAATTTTCCTCCCTCAGAAAATGCTGGGATACTTTGGGGTTGGTTTTTTTTTGTTTTTGTTTTTTTTTGAGAGACGTGTGTATCTTGTGAAACCCTTGGAACGCCAGGGAGGAAGTTTATTTTCATTAGCGATAAACAGGAATAAGAACATCCCCTTTCATGCAGCAGAGTGCCCAAATACTTAAATCAACAGTTCCACCTGTACACATTCATTTCAACACAAGTGAGACAAGCTTACCACTTCTCAATTAAAAAAGATACTGTATAAATGTATGATAACTTGCTTCAGTTCAGCCATTACAATTCTTCATTCACTGCTGCTGCCTAAGGTCTTTTCTCATTTCACTTTAAGTGGCAAGCGTCCAAGAAAGTTCTTTGCACGGCATTTGGGAATATTAGCATTTAAATGCTAATGGTCCACTGCTAATGTTTATGTTAGCTATTTGCAGTTTGAAGGATGACACTACAATTTGACTTCTGAAACACAGTGAAGAGAACAACTTGTAGATACTAAAATGGATAAATAAAAAAACCTCTAAGGTCAAAAGCTTGTCTCTTTATTTAACAGAAGTTGATCCAATAAGATATTAACTCACCCACCTTATATGGAGATATTCAGACATCTATCAGATCAGAAGCCAATATTTGCTCTAGTGTCATGTACAATATACTCTGCGAGCTTGTTGGGCTTTCATTTGCAACATGATATGTTATTATAGATGTTTCAAAGAAGGAATTGAACTAGTTTTATTTTTTCCTTCAAAAACTGATAAGGGTTGTGCTGACCAAGCAATTTAATACTCCATTATTCAAGCAATTACAATAATAGAAGCAATTTACTCTTTGGCCCAAGCTGGGCAAACACTATAATCTCTTTATTAATGAATGGTTGTCTACTTAATTCAGCCCCAGGATTTTTTAGATTATGTGTTTAAGGATAATTCAATTTTGACTAACTTAGATGGCCTTACTTACCAATAGCCCTGGAAACAGCAAGGGTTCCATTGACCCGCCAGCAGTCCATGTAGGTCACACAGCCACCTAGGGCTTCTATTCGCATTCTTTCATCCTAGAAGAAAGAAGCACATCAACTCTTTATACTAAGAGCATATCCCAGATCTCACTAAATTCACTGCTAGCCAGTGTTGCAGAGAAAAATCTTAAATCCCTTCAAATTGTATAGTTATAGTAGGATGCAAACAGCTTTATATTTTTAAATAAATGGGAATCAATAGTGTTCAGAGAAAAATGTGCTTATTAAAAAAAACAAAACAAACAGTCTTATTGCAATGTTCAGTTGAGTATACATGAACAAGACACGACAAGACATCTTCCCTATGACTGCACCATTGCTTGTTCGTGAAACAAAAGGGAAGAATCCCTGTCTAGGTCATTTCTATAGGAACAAACTAGCAATATCCCCATCACTGTGCAAATATTTAAGATTGTGAATGGAAGTAGGAAGAAAAGGATAATTGTAAAGCTAAGGTTTTTAGATGTACAAATAAAAAGTGCATTTAGAGGCAAATTTCATTTTCATTAATATAATCCATATTCCTCAAGCCCTACAAAAACTTTTATATTGTTCATACTATAAAGAAGAAGGTTCACGCAATGCCATCCCTAAAAACTTGCGACTGCCTTTTCAGTTTGTACATAAATCAGTTTAGTTATATTTGACCTACTGTAATAAAAAGAAATGTAAGATTAATTAAGCCAGTTATGATACTAGACTATTACTGCTTTTTGAACGATGCTATTATGTAAGCCAGGTCTGAAATTAAAACGTTTATTTACTAACTCAATGGTGACTTTAAAAAAAATCAGTTACTTTTGTTAAATAAAAGGCTCGCAGTTGTAGATTTTTCATGGTTGCTATGTATGCAAAATTCCATAGTACTACAGTTTTCAGAAGGTTCTTTTTATTTTTTTTTAAGGGCATTCGCAACTGAGAGTACAGATCAAGTCTGTTCTTCAGCACAATCCTTTTTTCCTTTGGAAAAACATGCATTGAGAACACACAACTAGACAGGAGAAAGGCAAGACTGACACATCATTACTATGCTCCATAACTGTCCAACTTAAAAGGGATGAAATCACTGAGAAGTGGATCCATCTAGTCCTGCTAGAGACTTTACATTTAAAAGCTGTAACTCATGACCATTTAACAACTGCTAACAGACCGTATCCTCATCCATTGCAAGGATGAGATCAGCCACCAATACCATCAGCTCAGTTTGTCATTCTAGTTATAGTAGGGTGACCAGATGTCCCGATTTTATAGGGACAGTCCCGATTTTTGGGTCTTTTTCTTATATAGGCTCCCATTACCCCCCACCCCCGTCCCGATTTTTCACACTTTGTGTCTGGTCACCCTAAGTTATAGACTTGCATACGTGCCACACTCCAGGGAATCTAGAGATTCCAAATAGTTCCAAAGCTACCTAGAGACCTTTTTTATAAAAGCTGTCTACAAAGAGAGCAGTTCAGTGTCAGCTGGTAGTTGGCCAGGTCTTCATTTAAAGAGATTCAGTGAGCCAAAAGTAAATTAATTACAGCCATCAGAGGAGAGAGCCAAAGAAAACAGGCTTACTTCTCTTTCAGGTTTGTGAGGTTCCATCAGGGTCACAGCTTTTCCCTGCTGCACCAACATTACCTGGGAGTCTCCAACCCAGGCTATGTGTAACCTGTTCCCTACAATTAAGGCAGATACACCTGTTGTACCACTCCGCAGCCTCTACAAAGGGAAACAGAGCAGTGCAAGTTAAACTGCAGTTTAACATCATAACATTGTAAATTAGGGTTAAGGCTACGTTTATGTCATGCAGGTCATGGAAGTCACGGAATCCATGACTTCCAGAGACCTCCGTGACATTCTCTGCTTCAGCCCCAGGGGCTGCGGGACTCTGGAGCTGGCAGCCAGCAGGGCCATGGCAGGGTTCCAGCAACAGGTGGCAGACCTCGGAGGGGGCCCTCGTCAGGGTTCCAGTGATGGGTGACAGCCTCGAGTGGGGAGCGGGACGCCTCAGGAGAGAGGCTGGGGGTATCCCGTTTTCTCTTTGGGAAATATGGTCACTCTGCAGTTCTCAGATGCCATGGGCAGAGGGGGAACTGGCCCCACAGCTCCCAGCCTCCACGGTGGCAGGGGAAACCATGGAGCCGCAGCAGCAAAAGTCACAGACCGGTCACGGCTTCCATGAATTTTTGTTTATTGCCCGTGACCGGTCTGTGACTTACTAAAAATAACCATGACAAAATCTTAACCTTAATTAGGGTTAATTAAAGGTCGTTAACTATGCAGCAATTTAGACTTTTGTGAATGGCAATCCACTGAATAAAAGGTGAAGACATAAGAGAAAACACAGGTTTAGAAGAAACTCTATTCTAGCATTCAAGTGTCTGACACTGCTATAGTTATTCTCTTCCCCTTGTCTTCGCTAACTCCAGCGTTAGCTTCAAAGGGCCCAGAACCATTTGCTTATTTGGGTTTTTCTGAAAAGCAGAGGCATCAGTTTGATTTTAACTTCAGCAGCAAGAACCTTTTCAGTACTGAACGTGACTTTTCTTCCCCATACAAACAGATGTAGCCACCCTATCTCTGCCTTCCCAGCGGCAGTGAAAAATATTCTCAGGGTGAGCATTTCTTCACTGCTGTATTACAGTCCATTATAAAAAGCCACCCTTGTTGCACTTTGAATGGTCAAGTTTCAATGCTGCTGCTATAAAGATGGAAGAGTGTCCTTCATTTGACCTTTACCACTTTTAGTTCCTTTACAATACTTCAAACTCAAGAACCTCGTTTAACTCATTTTTAAAATCTCTCATCCTCCAGTTATCTTGCCATGCACCGACTTCACTCTCCCGAATATGAGGAAAGGAGGAAGAGAAAGGTCAGTGATGGTGCTAGTGGAACCAGCCTTAAGAAAATAAATACAAAGATTTTATTTGCCTCTGTATTAAATTATGCAGATACAATTGGGGCTAGTCTTTTTTTTTTTCCCCCCTCACGGGGAAGCAACTCTTTGTTGCCTGTATATTCCCTGAGGTTAAGGATCCTGGTTAAGGATCCTGAAATAGCACTAACTCCTCACTTCAAAGTTTCCATCTCCCTGAACTTGCAGGCACTGGTTCTTATGAGAAGGGAGAATTTAATTTGACCAATGAAATACTTTCCACTTAGGATACTTGGCAAACAAATCAGAATGAATTCAAAGTCTAACTGTATGAGATCAAAATTCTCTGCATAACACCATTCCTTTTTACTGTCACCCAAGCAATTCTCCAATTGCTTAACGACAATGGAATCTGGCTCTACATTAGGGTTGCCAATTTTGATTGGATGTATTCCTGGAGGTTTCATCACATGACAAGCTTTAATTTCTGGAGACTCCATGACAGTCCTGGAGGATGGGCAACCTACTCTACGCACTCACCTCTCTTTCAGCTTTGAAAAGGAACATTTCATCAGTTTGCTGGAAAGAGCCTTTCAAGGCCTCAGTTGGGTTCTTAAGAATCTCCTTGTGTAATGCAACATTTATGTGCAAATGAGTTGCTGCATAATTGGCGGCATCCACTCCACCATGGCCATCAAATACAGCAAAGTATGCTCGATCAACGTCATCCTTTTGGCAGGAGGGAGATACAAAGAGTTCATAAATAAAAGTTGCTTGCATAAAATCTGGCAATTATTTCAGTGAAAGAATGTGTGCACATAGGTATGAGAGAGCACAAGCGTGTACACAGACACAATGCTACGCAAATACACGGAGAGCCACAAACACCATGATCTTCCCCGGGAAAAGAAAGTAAGGTGGCATGATCTAGCAAACTGACTTGGAGAGTAGGAATTAGGATGCCTGTATTTTACTCTGAGCTTTCCCACTAACTGTGTGTAACCTTGGGTAATTTGCATCAGTTTACCAATGTGTAAAATAGATAGAATATGCATCTCATGGGGGTATGTGTTATTTTTCTTTGCTCCTTGTTGATCACTGACCAGATTCTTGAAAAGGAATAGGAATTGAGAAGGCAGATTGGAAGGTTGCGTGGTTCCATTATATCTTTAGTAAGCATCCCTGAATTCTCAACCAAAATGCTATTTTTCATCTTTACATCATCAATTCTCTCACAAAATATAGCAACAGCCCCCACTTCCAAAGTGAGTTATTTTCCCTCTCTCCCCCTTGTGGTGGGAGCATATCAATGACACAAAAAACTGCTATATAGCTAGCCCAAATACACAGATCCAGTAGGTCTCTGCTCCACCTGATAAAAGGACTGCTGTCAGTAAATCCTTAGTAGCACCTCCCAAAAGTGATCACTTTGTGATACTAGGACACAAGTGTGTTTCCAGGGGTATTTGAATGCTAGAACTGACCTCTCCTGGCCCCAGACACTTACCGACAAGCCGAAGAGCTGATTGAATTCTGGGAGAGAAACATGTCTGTCCTCCATTTTCCGGCGGACGTTGCGGATGGCATGGCTGGAAATAAGCAGGAAGCGCTTCAGTGACTTCAGGGATGGCAGTTGCTTCTGCCATTCACAGCAGATGTCTCGCAGCTTATTAAAGAAACAGCGCTGCAAAGAGCCTCCATCCAGCACTGATGGCAGAGAGACAGTAGGTGACTTAGTTGTATGTTTGGGAAAAGGAGGAGGAAAACAAATGATGATATTCAAACCCAATATCCTCTCTCCTACTTACCCCTCACTTGTCTTTTCCTACAAGTTTCCTTCCCTAGGTCTACATGCATTCTCTCAACATATTCTGCCTGTACTAGCCTCTGACTTAGAGCCATAGTTCTATCCCTCCCCTTAATCCACTGGTACAAGAGTGCCTATGGATACACAGAACACTTCCTCCGAAAGTCACTCCATTGGGACACTATGAAAAAAGAAGCAACAAGTATATATTATGATGCTTGGTCCATACGCTTCTGAGTCAAACCCCTCTTAGAATCACAGGCAAAAAGTTCTGACCCAACAGTACAGTATTATGGACAAGAGGATCTTTCAGTCACCCAGTTTATTAAATAGTTATTACCTCTGAAGTTCATCGTGCTATCAAATGGCAGACAGTTCTCCAGGGCAATAGACCGCTTAAGGTCACAACGAGGATCAAAGTCAGTTTAGTAGATTGGACATAAAAGATTCAGTACTGGGAATTGAGAGTGGAATGTATTGTGCATAATGGTGGAAGTGTATCCGTTTATAAAGAAAATTAGATGCAGATCAGAAAACTCTAAGACTGTGCACAGGGCTGCTGTTGTCTTGACACAAGTCACAAATATTAGTCTGAGTTAGACCCGGGTTATGTGTAGTTGAATTACAGTCACCTAAAATAATGGATACACACAGAACGTATCACTTGAGGGATCAACTGGGTAGTAGCCCAGCTTAATCAGACTGCAGAAGTGTTTGAAGAAGACAACAGTTTAATCATTTTCACACAGAGAGTGAACTATCAGATGTTAAAAGCATGAGGGACAGAAGACCATCTCTGCCACATTACTGCTTTGCCATTACAGAGCAGAATCACAACACCCGTAGAGAGCAACATAAAAAGTACTAGCCAGACACTCAAATCCTTTCCTGGACTCATCTCAAATTTCATTAATCCCAGCATTCAGTCTGGTGAGCAATAAACTGTGATATTTGTGATAATTTCTAGCTTAGCAATGCAGGGTCTCTCAAGTAGGCTGAAATTTTAAGTTTGCTGTCTAAGTAAAAACTATCACCCAATGCTAAATCAACTTGCTTAAAGGGTGAGTAGAGCATCTATACAGCCAAAGCAATTAACTATCACAGATCTTCCTACTTTACAGCACTGAAATTCTTTACTGGGTAAACTACCTTCTCAATTTCTATATTATAGCAACTCTTGCTAGCACTAAGAATGTCTCAGCATTAACTCCAGTTTCTCAAGCACGTTCTCTTATCCATGGTACTGGATGTCCAGTTTCAGATACTTTCTTGCACCCTGAGAATGAAAAGAGCTTTGATTTAATGCAGCAAATGTTGGCAAGTGGTCGGTCTGTGATATAATCACTTTTGATTTACTTATTTTTTAGAAATTTTAAATAGGCAAGATATTTAATTCTGAGACATGCACTCACCACATATGCAGCTATTTTTAAATTGAGAAGATCAATTTAGATGATCTACATATGCTGGTTAATATAGTCTAAATATGCATGCCATTACACACCATAATGCCTGTGAGGCACGTTTCCTTAACCAGGCATTTAAACAGTATGGTGATATTGTGTCACTAACCCAAGTTTTTAAAATTAGTTTGAAGTCTATTTTCATGAAAGATCAATGGTATTCTAGTCTATCATGGCAAGTCTCATCTCAAGGCAAAAATTTATCTTTTTAAAAGATTAAAGTATATCCTAGCAAATCAACAAAGTTATTTAATATTTGTATTATAATAGTACTTATGGGAATCAGTGAGGAGCGAGGCCCCTTTGTGCTAGGCACTGTATAAACAGAGTGAAAGATGGCTCCTGCTCTACAGTTAAGGCAAGACAAGTGGGTTTAATAAGCAACTGAAAAGTAGGGCAAGGGAAACCCAGGGCCGGCTCCAGGCACCAGCTTGGCAAGCTGATGCTTGGGGCGGCCAATCCGGACAGGGGCGGCAGGTCCAGCTATTCGGCGGACGGTCCCTTACTCCCACTAGGAGCGAAGGACCTTCCGCCGAATTGCCGCCGCAGATTGTGATCGCGGGTTTTTTTTTGTTTTTTTTTGGTGGCTGCTTGGGGCGGCCAAAACCCTGGAGCCGGCCCTGGGGAAACCATAATAAAAACACACATATACATAGTTCAGGTATGTGCTTAGCTGGACGGTTTCAAGTGCTATATTTCCCCCCCATCCCCTCATACTCTAGCATAGTTTCTTGCGTCCTTTTTGCTTTCTGTCCATATTCTTTCCACAACTCCTATTTTTTCTGTCCCTTTGTATCTTGTCTCATTTCTCTTTTTTCTGTGATTTTTGTTCTGGTTTTGCTTTATATTTTTCCATTCTTGTTTTTATTCTTTATGTAAGAATTAAGTGGTTTGTGAACTCCATGCCATGGTTAGCGGACAGGTTTTTTTAAATGATTTACAAGCTACATTTTGAGTAAAAGGTTACTTGGAAACCAATGTTTGGAAAAGATAATATGATGACATTAACGATATGTTTTTCATAACTTTTCTACTTAAATAAAAAGTAAAGGTTATGTTAATAAATAATGTAGGATGATATACATTTATTGAATTAGGATATTGAAACTTGAAGAATTACTGAATGGTAAAAATAAGGGTTACATTTCATTAATCAAACTATTAACACTAAATTATGTGTAGTGAACAAGCTTAGACAGGCCAGGGTAATACTTATATTAAGTCTATAGCTTAGCTTTTGCTTGACATGAGTTGTCTTGCCAATTTCTCTCTTATGTAGGCTTACTTAAATAATACTCATAGCTGACAGCACAAAGGTGATTTGTTCATGGAATGTATTGTGTTGAAGATAAAATGTAATGCTAAAAAAAAAAATCCCTATGTTGAGGAAAAACAGTAGTACGGTGACAAGGAGACATGACAAAAATAGCGTAGACAGCAAAAGTTATGTTAATTGAAGCTTGCACATGTGTATTGCACAGGTTACACAAGACTCAATACTCAATGTTGACTGGAAGAAAGGTAATGAATAGGTCATGTGGAAAGATATTAAACAAACAAAAAACAAGCAAACCAGGGACCAAGTAGGAGAATGCTGCACCAGACACTGAGAAGATCATCATGAAGTGTCTAAGAGCAACCCAGAACCCTGGAACTCAGTAACTTGGGCCCCCAGCTGTTCCATCTTATCTACTTATTATCTGCCAAATATATGATCAGAAACTATAAATTTTCAGAAAGTGATTTATTTATAAATAAAGGCAAAATTGAGTGGACTTGTGCCTCCATTTCCTACCTTACACCACACTGCTCAGACTACCAAAATTTTTGCAAGGTCATCTTCAAAAAGGTAGGTTTTGTTGGTTTGCCTTTCTGTTTTTGGAATTTCTTTTAGTGCCATAAGAATGACCCTTGTTTAAAACATTTAAGCTTGCTTTTCTAGACTACATAGGGCCACAATGACATAGATCTCTGGTTCTCACCCAGTGACATGCACTACACTGGTGAAATCACATTGGCTACAGAACTCTAACCTCCACACACCCTATCCCCAAAAGAAAGAAACCCACATCTAGAATCCAATCAAGGGGATACAAATATTGAGCCACACTTTCACCTTGAGTACCTAGGGCACAAATTGCATCTCCTTAACCCTGTGTGGCAGTTGCTTTGGAAAGTAGATTATCCTGGAGGGTGGTAATCAGCAGTATCATGACCATACTGCTCTGAGGATTCTAACTGGTGAAGGCAGCTTTAAATTCCAGCCAGGCTCTATAGGAACCCCGCTGGCAGAGGCTGCCTGGGAATTGTGCTGGTCCCAACTCTTACTAACTGGTTTTATCTACTTTGGGAGCTGTAGCAGTCAACTCTGCCCTCCTCCCCCCAAAAAACAGGAAGCATGGGCAGTTAGCACCACTGTGTCCCCCTCTAGGCAACCTTCTGTTGGCACAGTCAGAATACAAAAGGATTAAATCCAATGAATCAGAAAACAGCAGCAGTCTATATGCAGTGAGTGAATACTTATGATTACTAGTGCTTTGTCCATCATGGGCTATTTTGCCATCCTTACTCACATCGAGTATTCTAAGTAGTTCTATTTAAATCAATGGGACTGCTCTCAGAGAAAGGTATTACTCAAGTGAGTAAGAATGGCAGAAGCTAGGCCTATGAGACTGAAAATTTATGAAAGGCTTATGAGGCATCCACAATGTCATCTAGGATATTGCGGGAATGAACAAGCCAGTTTCATAAAGAAATGCTTGCAGCTATTGAGAGATGATCACAGTTCTAAGGGTACATCTTCACTACACGCTGTATCGGCAGGTAGCAATCGATTTATCTGGGATCGATATATCGCGTCTCGTTAAGACGCGATATATCGATCCCTGAACGCGCTCACCATCCACTCCGGAATGCCACCAGAGTGAGCGGCGGTAGCGCGGTCAACGGGGGAGCTGTGGCCGTCGATCCCGTGCCATGTGGACCCCAGGTAATTCGATCTTAGATACTTCGACTTCAGCTACGCTATTTGCGTAGCTGAAGTTGCGTATCTTAGATCGACCCCGCCCCCCAGTGTAGACCAGCCCTAAGTAGCTCAGCTTTCCGTAAGGGCCTGCAGTTTTCAAGTATCCCAGGAGATGGAGCCAATTTACTATCAGCTCAATTCTGAGAAAGCAAACTGGGTTGGCCTATGAATGAAAAATGTTTCCTGAATCTGTGGGACTAAAAACCTGCTAAATGTCTTGAGAAGACTGTGTTTAAAAACAATTTTGTTTATATTTCCTGCACTTCCCTTCCCACATTCTCTATTAAAGTCTACCACCACATAATTTTTCTATACTCTGGAGGAGGAGAGTTAGCACTAGCTATTTAGGTCTTGGCCAATTTGATTGAAACCAGCTCTTTGCATATAAAGAGGGGGAGTGATAACAGTCTACAAACACATGAAGTCTGTACACATCAAGGAGGGAGAGAAAATATTTAGGGAGCTGTAAAGGATACAGCCAAGAATTACGGGATGAAGTTAAGAAAGAAAATTTAAGCTGAATATTGGAAAAGATTTCTGGACAATGAAATCTAATGGCCAGTGGATTAGTCTTGCAAGGTAAGAAGTGGAAGCCCCATCCTGTAGGGCTTTTAAAAACAGATTGGAGAATGTGTGTAACAGGAAATAACGTTCATTGTCTGGGATGGACTAGATTACCCAAGAGATTATTTCCATTTCTAGCTTCGGATTCCTGCAGCATCCGACCCTCACTCTAGCTCCAAATCAAATGGTAAAAGGAGGTTTGGTAAGGCTTAAAGTTAAAAATTCTAGTGAATAAATGTGATGGAACTGGTTGTTACACAGTGCTCAAACTGTGTGCAACTGTTTGTTCCCTACCCCAATGTCAACTGGTTGTGAGGAAATGGAGGCACCAGGTAGAAGGTCCAAGAACAGTTCTCCACCAATCATCACGTGGTCCTTACAGTACTGATGATCTTATAGAATCATAGAAGATTAGGGTTGGAAGAGACCTGAGGAGGTCATCTAGTCCAACCCCCTCTCAAAGCAGGATCAACCCCAACTAAATCATCCCAGCCAGGGCTTTGTCAAACTGGGCCTTAAAAACCTCTAAGGATGGAGATTCCACCACCTCCCTAGGTAATCCATTCCAGTGCTTCACCACCCTCCCAGTGAAACAGTTTTTCCTAATATCCAACCTAAACCTCCCCCAGTACAACTTGAGACCATTGCTCCTTGTTCTGTCATCTGCCACCACTGAGGACAGCCTAACTCCATCCTATTTGGAACCCCCCTTCAGGTAGCTGTTTCACCAAATGTAAAGGCCTGGAATTTTGACACTTGCAGGCTCAAGCGTGACCATAGGTACTGTCACCTCGATCCTGAGTGTGGGCAGAGTTGCTCAAAGATTTAAATGGGTTGCCCTTACAATGTTTAATGTAGCTGCATAGTAGAGACCCCACTGATTCCAGTGTGGGCTGAAAAGGCACATTAATGGACTACCACTAGCTAATCATTGAAAAGGTTACTCATTTAAAGAAACAAATGCACTTCAAAATTACAAAAGGTTAACAACTCAAGAAAGACTGAATCAACTCTTCACAGAAGTCTCTTCATTTAGCAACAGAGCTAGAGCGCAGTTACTCCTTCCAATGTGACTCAACTCTGATTTTCAAGAAGTAGGTAGCTTGGCATTTTCTGAAAATCACATCCCTTTGCTGGGCACCCCAAATCACTAATCAGTTTTGAAAGTCTTGGTCCAGGTCTCCACACTCCATGCTTGCCCCTAGACCACAAAGCCATCCTTCATCCCACATTCTGCGGCGTGATGAAAGCTCTGCTCCTATTGGTTTGCCAAAATATCCCACCAGGTATTCCAGGAAGTATTTCAAACTACAAGTGTTCCAGCAGACACCCTGTGGAAATCCACAGAAGGATATTATACTTACAGGTGAACTTCCCCTGGTCTCCTTCTTCCTCCCCTTCCACACTCTGCTTCTTAAAAACAGAAAGATCAGTCTGTAGCACCTCATCAATTGCAGCGTGGATCAAAGATGCTGCAAGAAGAGGCGGTGCATCCCTGATGTGAAGAAAAGAAAAAAAAGAAATATATTGTATTAAATTTAAACTGAACCGTGGCCTTCCTGAAGTCAGCAACCTCATGGCTCAAAAAGTTAGAAAGCTCCAGCAGCTACTAATAATTGTGACTCCTGGTCAGGGATGTAACTTTAACAGTCTCCAGAGACCACTGAAAATAAGTGTCACACTTTATTATTACCAGTATTTGTAGTATACAAAGACCTTTATAAGTCTCTAAACTCAGTTTAGACTCAAAGACAGCAGTTCCCTTGAGAACACAGGTGCAAGAAGTGTGATTTTGAATTCTGCCTCATCTTTACTCTTTCAATCACAGACTAAATCTTGTGCTCTTGCATTCTATGATGGGAACTGTTACTTACAGAGCCTTGTTAGGACTGAGCTCAGGCACTTTGCGCCATGTATTATTTATTTATTTATTTATTTTTAAGCAGATATGATAGGAGTTATTCACCTTCCCACCCCCAATACTCATTTCTTTTGGTGGGTTTTTGTGAATTTCTTCCTTGAAAAGTGGATAATTATCCATTGTGTTATTACAAAGCATATCAGAATCCCAGTATATGGTATGTGCACACCACCAAACACATAGCATCCAGAGCTCCAATACACTTTGGATGGGTGAAGGGAAAGGTGACTGAATTTTTGTGCAAAGAGAAAGTGTAACATCTTAGCACAGCATAAGGTCAGAGAGAGGTTGGAATGTTTTGCCTCTAGCATTACAGTCCCCAGGTTCTCCTGAGCTGAGGATCCACAAAACCAGGGCAGAGAGGAACTGAAAAAAGTGTCCATTGTGTCCACTGTGGACTAGGCTTTGAACAGATATAGTACATGCACAGTGAGAGTTTTGTATGATACACACAAGATTCATGATAAGGCTTTAAATAATGAATTTGCAGATTCAAGGCAAGCCTGTTCCAACTTTAAAGTTGTGTGACTGCAAAATTATCCTTTCATATGTAATATATCTGTGTAGCAGGCATCAAGAATTCACAGCTGACGATCTCTGTGAGGAGAGGCAGGGAAATAAAAACAAGAATACTGGGAACGAAGAAGTCCATGAACACAGGACTTCAAACATGGCTCTGAGAGTCTCTGAATATCCACAGGATATTAACACTGCATCCAAAGAAGTAAAGCAGTAAGCCATCTGGATCAGGTCAAGGACAAGTTTGGGTGGGAGCGGGGTTTCCTGGAAAGAGTTTGGAAAGGCCTGCATAAATTGGCTGGCTTTAATGTAATAAATACTCTATAAAGATTCAACCCCCCGTTTTCAAATCTTAAAAGAACATTTATAGTTCCTAGTGATGTTAAGAGCTCAAATGTACAGTAAAAGCTATTTTATCCAGCACTTCACCAACCGGAAATGTCTATAAACCAGCATTTCTGATCTTGATCTGGTTTATAGTCTGGTTGGCGCGGGGCCAGAAAGGAGTTGAGGCGCAGGAGACCTGGGGTGCGAGGTCCCATATCCGGGGGTGCTCACCTCGGGCAGCTCCCCACAAGCGGCGACCTGTCCTGGCTGCTCCTAGGTGGAGGCGCAGCAAGCAGCTCTGCACACTGCCTCTGCCCGCAGGCGCCACCCCTGCAGCTCCCATTGACTGTGGGGTTCCTGGCCAATGGGAGATGCAGAGTCAGCGCTCAGGGTGGGGGCAGTGTGCAGGGCTGCCTGCCACACCTCTGCCTAGGAGCTACTGGGACAGGTTGCCACCTGCGGGGAACTGCCAGAGGTGAGCACTTCCTTGATCCGGCGCCTCGAGCCCCCTCCTGCACCCAAACTTCCTTCCTTTTATTTAACTGGCATTTTTCACCTACCAGAACCCCCCATTCACCCAACATGCCAGAGAAAACAGCTTTTACTGTATTTAAAAAATCCTTGCTGAAAGAAAGACAGACTTTGTCAAGTATTCATGGCCACATGTGCCTCCTGCTACAGCAAACAGAAATCTTCATGCAGGTCAGCTGGCTGCTAATATAGAAGCTTGTTTTATGCAATGTTCTGTAGCAGGGGTGTGCTATTTTAGTTTGAGAGTGACTTCAGTACCCCAAAACCACACAGAAGCGTATTTGCAGTCCTCCTTTCATTTCAAAGCACTGGAAAACCAGAAGCTACTTTGCCATTTCTTTTAGTGCACGGTTAAGCCTGAAAAGGTCTTTGTTTTCCTATCCAATCCAAACAGACAAAAGCAAATCACATCTGCTTACTAGGAATATGCTAGCATGACTGCGCTGACGAAATGGACAACTCGAAGATTTAAGACCACCTTGCAAATGAGAAACGCAGTCAACCTACGTAGAAATGCAACAGCAGTAGGCAAGTATTAAGCTGAAAATGTTCTATTTCCCCCTTTTTGAGCTGCTGCATCTTTGCGGGGGGGAGGATGAAGGAAGAAGAATTAAATACAACATGAGCGCAAGAACGCTTCAGCCAGGGCCGGTGCAAGGAAGTTTCGCCTAGGGCGCGAAACTTCCACCTTGCGCTCCCCCCCCAGCCCTGCAGCAGCTCCCCCCACTGCCCTGAGGCGCTACCCCCCAAAGCAGCTCCCCCCGCCCCCCAGGGAGCCGTGCGGCAGCTCCCCACCTCAGCTCATCTCTGCTCTGCCTCCTCCCCGAGCACGCCACCCCCGCTCTAATTCTCCTCCCCTCCCAGGCTTGCGGCACCAAACAGGGGGGCGGGGAGCTGCCGCGGGGGCAAGGGGGTGCCTCAGGGCGGGGAGGGGAAGCTGGCGCAGGACTCCCCACCCCAGCTCACCTCTGCTACGCCCCCTCCCCGAGCACGCCACCCCCGCCGGCAATTACAATAATTGCATGGAACGGCCGCTGTGCTGGGAGAAGGAGTCTGAGCTGCAGGTGTCAGCGCGCCGCCGGCAGCCCAGGAACGCTGTAAAAAAAAAAAAATTGGGGGCACCGCTTTTTGGCACCCCCAAATCTTGGCGCCCTAGGCAACCGCCTAGTTTGCCTTAATGGTAGTACCGGCCCTGGCTTCAGCAACTGTCAGCTACACAGCTAGTCTCTGCATTGCAGAACAAGGTATAGCATGAGGAAGTCAGGCTTTAAGCCTTGTCTAGACTAAGGGCTTGTCTTCACTACAGCACTAAATTGGCACCGCTGCATTGATTTAGCATGTCTGGTGAAGACGCATTACATCGACAGGAGAACGCTCTCCCGTCAACATAATTACTGCATGTAAACAAGAGGTGAAAGCTACGTGACCAGGAGAGTGTCTCCTGAGGACATAAAGCAGTGTCTACACCATGCTAAAGTTGATGTAAGTTACGTTGCGGGGGGGCGGGGGGGAGGAGAGACTCAGACCTCTGAGTGACATAACTTACATTGACTTAGGCAGTAGTGTAGACAAGGCCTATGATGTAAAGGTGCTAACATGTTCGAAAAGTCTAGTGTAGACAAAGTAGCATATACATTAACCTGTGCTAGGCTGGTCAAGTTAAAGCCTATACTCCCATCTGAGCTTTCATTCAGCCAGATATGTTTGAAACATCTAATGTAGACAAGCTATTAGTTAGAACATGTTACCTAAGATAGTCTAGCATCACACCTTTTATCTTAGCCTAGAAATGGTGCAAGTGTTTGTACCATGATTAAGTGTCAATATAAGTTCTATCTCCAGAAATGGAAACAGAAAATATTATGAGGAAAACAGCAGGAAAAAAAATGGGTGAAACAGGAAGAGAAATCATTTGAATGGCCTTTAAGAGCCACAGTTAAGGATCTTTTCCAGACTTACCGATGGTGCCTTGTGAATGGAATTGAAAGCTCAACCAGGTTTCTAGCTGACATTAGAATAGTGTTCAATACTTTGGTTCCAGGCTAGGCAGGGTTCTACCTTCAAAAGCCTTGGCTCAGTATGGGCTGGACCCTAGACAGAACTTTAAAGCACAGGAAATGCTGTAATGCACAAGTCTCACTGAGACCTCTAATCACAGGAAGTGTGCAACATTCTTGGTAGATTCTGCCCTCCGAGTGAAGGAAAGAATTACAAACCATCACATCACATCCTTCCATTCTTGCCAATTACCACTCAGCCCCCAAAAGGAAATTCACTGAAGATTCCTTAGCATTTTCAGGAAGCAGAGCAGGACACTGCCAAGTGAGATGTGGAAAAATAGCTTTGCAGTGTCCTTTTTAAACCTGAAACGAACCTAGATGTTCTGAGCTATATTTTATAGGGTTTTACTAGCAGCACTATCTACCATATTGGGCACAGTGGCGTATTCCTGTAATCCCAGCTATTTGGGAGGCTGAGGCTGGCAGATCACTCAGGGATTCTGGGCTACGGTGCGCTATGCCGATCGGGTCTCCAGTGCCACTGACAACCTAGCCAGTGGGTGGCTGAAGGACTGGCTAAAACAGGGGTTGGCAACCTTTCAGAAGTGTTGTGCCGAATCCTTATTTATTCACTCTAATTTAAGGTTTCGTGTGCCAGTCATGCATTTTAACATTTTTAGAAGGTCTCTTTCTATAAGTCTATAATATATAACTAAACTATTGTATGTAAAGTAAATAAGGTTTTTAAAATGTTTAAGAAGCTTCATTTAAAATTAAATTTTAAGGCAAAATTCTGCTTCATTGGCCACAAACAACTATTCGGGCTCGTCTCCACTTACCGGGGCATCGACACTTGGGTCTAGGGAAGACCCGCTAAATTGACCGCTAATCACTCTCCCATCGTCACCGGTCCTCCACCAGATCGAGAAGCATAAGGTAAGTTGATGGGAGAGTTTCTCCCGTCAGCCCAGCACGGTGTAGACACCACAATAATCCGACCTAAGGTACATCGACTCCAGGTACGTTATTCACGTAGCTGGAGTTGTGTAACTTAGGTCAACTTAGCCCTGTACTGTAGACCTACAAATGTACTGGCTAGTTTAGCAAGCTATGTTAATAAATGACAGCACATTAACATTTATGTCATTTTCATCTTGTGTGCAGGACTCTAAAAAGATGCTTCTGATTCCAACAAGA